GAATCCCCCCCTGCCCTCTGCCCACGCTGTGGGATCAGCCCAGGGCACGGGGGGGTTTTGGGTCCCAGAGCATATGGCCAGGGCATGTCCAGCCTGTCACCCCCCTGCACCCCCATCCTTCTAAGGATGCTCAGGAAGCTCCCAATCCCCAGCAATGTGCCCAAATCCCAGAGCCAGGCTATGAAGACACAGCATCTCCATCCCCACTGGGCTGAAGGCCCCCCTTCCCTGACTGCCAACTGTTTGCATGGGGGGTGAGGTAGCAGAGAAGTGGATTTTCACACTTAGAAGTCCTTCAGTTCAAAAGCTGTGGGACTTTTTGAAATGAGCTGATTTTATCTAAAATAATGAGATTTTATCCCCTGCCACTGGTGTACAGGAAGCAGCTGTGAAGCAATGTCTTCTCAAAAATAAAAAAATCATGACTTTCTGGGCAAAATAACAGCTCTGGAAGGATCTGTAGAGAATGTTTTGGTCACTACACATGAATAACCACTAAGTGAATTATTTGGGATGCACTGCAGTTCATTTCAGACACTGTAGGGGATCTGGGATACCTGTCATCTCCCATGCAGTTTGTACCATGGTGCTGAGGTGGCAAAGGCACCAGGGAAGAAGAAATGTCATTTTTCAGCATAAAGCCAGGCTTGAGCTTCTTATCTGCCACTGCACAGGGGACACAGCACTCAGACCTGCCCTTCCCCCAGGATTTTCTAGTAATTTGGGAATAAAAGTTAGTTTCTAAGGTAGGTTATGTGATCTCCCAGGCTAAGGGCTGGTGCTTTCCATTCCTAACTCACAGTGGAATTCCCCCTTTCTGCATAAATTAAAATGCAGAGTGTAGTTATCAGTTTAAAAATAAACAAAAGAGTTGTAAAAAAAAAAAAAAAAAAGAAGAGGCTGGAGCAGTTTGGACACATTCAACCTGTAACAAAGGTTCTCTTGTTTTCACATCAGTGATATTTTGCCAATAAGGGCTTCGTGGAACATCAAGGAAGGTTTTTCTTGGGTTGTTTTCAGAAAACAGTTAAAAAAGAAAAAAAAAAATAACTGAACCAAATGGGGTCATTTGCTGGCTGAGAGGGTGACTCCTGCTGGGTGTGGGTTTCCTGATGCAGGTTGGATGCTCAGCCTGGTGGCAACCAGGGAGGTTGGAGCCAGTTCAGCTCAG